GAAGTTTTGCTCAAATTTGAAATAATAGATATCGATAGAAATAAAGAGAGGGGTAGTGGGTATCTTAGATAGTAATATACCGGTGCACTCATGAAATAAAATAGTTCTAAGAACATTTGAATTGGTTTTAACTAAAACTAATATAAGATTTTGAGTTTTGTATATAAGGACATTCTTTAATATTTGTATATTTGAATTTAGGGTTTTAAGTGCGTTTCTACTTCAAAGTTCAACTCTACAGAAGCTTAAAAAGAGGTGGAATTATATAAATATTTATTATAAAATATTATAGTTGAAATAAATAAGCATAAATATTAACATAAAGAGGTTTTTCGAACAGTAGTGAACTACAACAACAAAAATTCATTTTATATTATTTTAATTAATTGAATTTTGGGCTGACTATACAGCTGTATATTGGCAAATACTCATCATGAGTGGTCTTAGAAATAATTCTTATATTTAATTATTCGTAAATAATTTTTTGAGACTGCAAATACCAGGAATCGAATTTGTGCCCAGCCAAATTTGAAGCTCAGAGTCAGCGCTCCGTAACCAACTGACCCAAAGTCGTACTTGACTTTTATGTTCACACATTTTTTGGTGTTTTGGTACTTTGCTATAAAAGTTTTATTAACAAATTCACTTGCTGTGTTTATATTAGAACGAAATCATAAACCAGCTGTAGAATAATTGAATTGAAAAATTGATCTATTATTCTATAAAACATAAATACTAACTATAAATTTATATATGTTATATGTTAATGAAATTCAAATTAAAAAAGGTTAGGTATTATTCTATTTATACATAATTTTAGTAAACAAAAACAAATAAAAATGTGATCAGTTGAAAAAAAAATCGATAACAAATATTATTTTATTTTGAATTATATATTAAAAAAATTAAATATAATTATTAAAATTTATTATTTCATCCACTTCAGTATTTCCAAATGTTACGACTCCACCTTGCTGGCTGTCATAACTTGACGTTGCAGTTCCAATGCAAAATTATTACGCAGATCTTACAATGATGCTGGAATTTTTTTTTTTTTACTTATAAATTTATAATAATTTTATTTTTCAGAGCAGTACACAGTACAATGGACTCTAAAACAAGTGTCAAAATTTAATGATTAACCCATGCAATTGGTTATATAAACGGTTTCAGTGAGCTTTTCTGATCAAACCTGTGTCAAATCTAGTAAATCACAACGTAAAATATATTTCTCAGTAAATTAACAACAACAATTGCAGGCATTTACAACGTCAATAAATAAGATTTAGTACGATTGAAGATTTGTAATAGTAAATCGCATAGTGTAGAGACGGTTTAATACATTTTTGACGGTATGACTGATTTTATTAAAAAAGCAATGAAATTCATTAATTTACAATCGTGCATAACAGTTTCTATGCAATTTTGTAATGAAATTTGTTTAGCAAGGATTTTTGTTTTCTTTTTGTTTAAAATTTTAAATCAAAATAAAATTGCATTATTGGTACTAATTTTTTATAGCTTAACAGTTGCTTAATACTTTACAGCGCAATAGTTTAACAGTCTTCAGTTAAACATTTTTAAAGTGTACATTTTAAAAGTTAACATTTAAACTGTGTAAACTTAACAGTTTATAATGTTATTATTAATTGTTTATTTTATTTTCGATATGATTTTTTTTTGCTTAAATTCTTTTACAGTTAGTCTTTTTCAGTTTAACAGTTGTTTAATCGCTTTATTGTTTACAGCGCAATAGTTTCACAGCTTTTAGTTTAACATTTTTAAAGTGTACATTTTAACAGTTAGCATTTAACAGTTGACAACTTAACAGTGTGCATTTTAACAGTTTATATTGTTATTATTATATTGTTAAAATTAATTCTGCCTTTATTAATACTACTAAAAGTTAAATAAATATCTTGATAGGCATCAAGATCTCACACATAGACCTTCGAATTCTTAGCGGTATTAAGTCGAGACATGCTTATTAGAGTGATTCTCATTCATCATGCGTGTATGTTAAGTTAACAGAAAAATTTCACCTTTACGACTTTAAGAATAAAACGTACTTTTATTTAATTTTCTTTTTTCGGATGTGATAGAGTATTGAAATCAGTCTATACTATATTATATGAAGTTGAAGCGTGTGTAAAATTTGTCGAAAAATGTATTTCTGTTTATTATTAATCTGTAATTTGGACAATTGTTTAAAGAAGAAATCACTAATAAATTATAATCTATCTATAGAAATGTGTCCAATTTAAGTAACTTAAAACTATTTAATTAAACATATACACAAATGTTTGTCTTATCAGTAACTACATATTATACATACATTCGGATATATGTATTAATTTTTGTTTATGGTACATCTCATATCTACTTGTAACATATATTGTGTATAATATATTCGTACCCTTATTTTTAATATCTTTGTTGAAAACATATTCAACACATTTGAACTAAGAATAAACTATAATTACTTTAGTTTTAGGCTACCTGTCTGTGTTTATTTTGGAAATATAAAATGAATGAGGACACTATTTAACCTTGAAATCAAAATTCTTTATTAATATTTATAGTTTAGTATAGTTTAGTGAAAGAAAAATTACTACTAGTAATGTTTCTGAAAATGCACACTTTTGAAAATGTGACGACGAGGACCTAATTTGGTTTCAATGAATTCATCAACAGCTACAAAATACTAAATAAAAAGAATTTAAACATTGTAAAAGGTATACTTTTCTAAGCATTATTATTTAAGGTAGATATGAATATAGGTAGACATTTCAGGTAAATAAGAGAGGCATTAATATTTGCTAAAGTGCCAATTTTATCTCAAAAAGAAAAATACTAAACCGAAAAAATATAATGGTCATATATAAAGAAGTCATAAGGCCATCTTTGCTGTATAGTTAGGTCGTTTTTACTATGTTATCACTACGGGCTATTATTTGAGCTCAAGATGGCTTTGGGAACAAAACTGCCACTCTTACTTAACCCTATCTAGGTCATTTTTAGTAAGGCACCTTAATCCTCTACTGAGGCATTGCAAACATTTTAAAACATTACCCTAAGGAAAATTTTATTTTGTATTCATAGAGATTCTTCTATTGAAACCAACAACAATTACATAAAGGTTAGGGCACTCAAACTGTTCAGCAAAAAAACATAGTTATTCCAAGGCTTCTTAACTCCGCTTAGAAGAATTCATTCAACGGGAAAATTTGCTAATATTCGTTTTCTGATACCTTTAACAAAAATAGTATACATCACTAAAAGTGATGTAGCTTACGAGGCTTCCCAAGTGTAGATATATAAGATGTATCCAGAGAAAGCAGTGTGCTAACTGCATCCAACTCAATTAAATCGGAATTTAGTATTTAAGACTTAATTTTAAGCGATTTCAGTTTTGATACTTCTTCACAACTTGGGTGTCCCAAATAATTGTGTGGCTTAAGAAAAGGCAATTTCTTCTTAACATAGTCATGCAGAAAGATAAGGGAAAATAGAGAATGTTGTAATCGGACAATCTACTAAGGCTTTTTAATTATAGGATTTCAGGATTGTACGCGACTAAATAAAAACAATTTTAGTAAATGCAACTTAAACTGAAAATAAAACAATTATACAACTGTAGGTTGTATTATAACCTTACAAAATTGATAACTATGTATATGTAATGGTTCTTATAGGTTTTTAGAAAAGAGAATGAGACCGGCAGTTATTGCTGTGCTATAAACGAAAGAATTACTCAAAACCTATGCATTTTTTATCGCAACATGAACTCGGTAAAGTATGTTTAATACTACAATATGGTATATTGGGGTAACCGGAGTCAGAGAAATATTCAGAATCCATTAAGAGGGCAGATCTCTAGGACGCAGTGCAGAAGCCTTAAACATAATAATAATATTAAAAATGTGGCTGAGTTAATCTTAACAAATAGTTATATTTTTTCTTTTGTGTAACCGTTTCCATATTTATATATTTATGTATATTTGTCTTTCTGAAGTAGGTACAATGGACCTTTAATCTTCATCGTAACGTAGTGTTTTGAAATGTTGCTGTTTTACAGAAAGCTACACATTCGTGTTTTATCTAATAAAAGTTATGTATGAATATTATTTATTTATTTTTTTAAAATTTATAAAACAATTTGTCGTTTAGAGCAATTATTGCCCACTTCAAACCCACTTAAATTTGAAATGTTTATTTTTTTGAAATTAAAGATCGAAACGTAAAATTGATAAATATCGACAGATAACAACCGATAAAGTGTTCAAACAGATAAAATAAAATTGAGTGAAATTTTTTAATATTTAAATTGTTGCATTACCAAAACACAAAAAAAAAAAAATTAAAAAGAAAAAAAAAATGAATTTCATTGTGTCATTATTGTACTCGAATGAATGGTTCAGTGCAATGGATGCAAATGCTCTTGTCAGTCAAAGAAGAAATGTGTAGCTATAAACGAATAATAATTCAAGTAGCTGAAAAGATACAAATTTTATTTGTTATCAACTCTAAAAACCGGCCAAAAACAAGCGTGACTTGAGGTGTAGATTCATTCAATGTATCCGTTCAATGCAACTGGCAACGGAACTACGTTATTCGGTTCAACAGTATTTAAAATAAATCCAAGTTCAACAAACATTAACCATACCAACGACACAAATAATAGAAAAATAAAAAAATATTGAAACGATATTAAGAAAAAATAAAATTATTTATTTATTTGAATTTGTTATTAAATATGAAATTTCATGCTTTCGTTATGGGAAAATATTTCGTTATTAAAATTTTTTTTTTGATTTGCAGAAAAACTGGTAATTAAATTAAAGGCTTCTGAATTTATTTGAATTTAATAAGTAGTTTAAATTATTAAATGAAAAATTACAAATTTAAATATATATTCACAATATGTTTAATTATTTTTTCAATAATAAATATAAAGAAAATTTTTATGAGATTGAAGAAAATGCGTATAGAGTAGAAATGCTTCAAACATGACTATATTAATCTGGTCAGATAGTAATATTTGTCAATATTTTTGATTAATTATTCTTTTAATATTTATTGCGATTTGCACGAAAATTATTTAACCTGTCCGTTTTATATAAATTGACTAATAATTTCTTACAAACAGATATTAAAATTTTACATATCATTCACAATTTTTCTATTTTCAAATAAACTCCCTTTTCAGCGTCACGAAACTGTTTTTTCAATTTATATTTCATAGGTATCTGTGTTTCCTTTGTCGTAGAAAACCGATAGTTCTTAAGCATCAAATATAAACCAATTATAATTTGCATATGGGCAAATCTGTAACCAATACAAACTCGTGGTCCTTTACCAAAACCCAGAAATGTCATTGGATGACGTTTTTCAGTTTCTTTTGTTGAGAATCGTTCAGGATCAAAACGTTGAGGATCTGGATATATATCTGGATCATAGTGTAAAGCATCCATTGGCATAATCACTATAGTGCCCTTTTGTATAACGTGATTTGAATTTGGCACTTTGTAGTCACTGACGGCTTGGCGTAAAAGAAAAGGAGTTACTGTGTACATACGAACAGTTTCTTTAAATTAAAAATAAAATATATAATATATTAAATATATGTATATAGATATATAAACATATATAATTTCTAACCACTTACCATACATAACTTGGAGTAAATATTTCATGTCTTGAACTGCTTCATAAGTAAGTTTGCCATCATGGTGAGCCATAACTTCATTCATTTCCGTCCGAGCCTTCTCTTGTATATCTGGATTTAAGGCCAATTGGTATAAAGAAAAACCCATTACACTTGAACTTGTTTCAGAACCTGCTACAAAGAATAAAAACGTTTGTGCTGTCATTTCTTCCATTGTTAAAGGATCTGAAGTTTCTGATTTTCTTAACTCCATTAAAATATTAAGAAAATCTTTTCGTTTCATTCCTGTTCGTTCACGATAGTCAACAGTGTCACGAACAATTTGAAAGAAAAAGTCTGAAATTTCATTTGGAAATAATTTCATTCCCAGTTTTCGAGCCAAATTTGGAAAAGTGTTCATAAGCGAAACAACAGGCATACTGTGTTTAAAATAACCAATCTTTTGACAAGTTTTACTTATTTTACTGGTGGGATCCTTTAATCTATTGCACTCTAAACCGAAAGCAACACTTCCAATAACATCTGTTGTATAGCGTGACATAAGATCTGCAAAATCAATTCCTACATTCATATCTGCAGACTTTCGTTCATCTTCCAAAACATTGATTAATTGATCAGCTACATCGACGACAGTGGTAAACATACTTTTCATTTTTCCTGATGTGAAAGTTGGAGTAAATTTTGTTCGCAAATTTTTCCAGTGCTCTCCATCTAAAAGCAGCATGTGAGCAGAAATTGGATCATCTTTTTTATTATAATACATTCCTCGATCTGTAAAATATGCAAAATCCTTAATGCATATATTGTGCATTAAGTCGAGATCGAATAATACGACTGCTTTTCGTATAAATAAATAAAATCCAACGAATCGTGCAGTTCCTTTGTATTTCGTATAAAATTCTCGAAAAATATCGTACAATGATTTTGTGCGATTAAATTCTCGAAGATTACCGAAAAAAAACGCTGGTTTGTCATGTGGTATACCGTGCTCCTTAAAATATGAATATTGCTTCCGTAACGCCAAATAAATGAGCAGGGAGCTGCCGCAAATGAAACACACAAGAATCTTTACTAAGATTTCAATCATTTTAGTACTGTAGCTCAATGAAGATTGTGAGATTTTCTGTAAGTCTGTAGGTGCACACTAGGAATTAACGGGGCTTATATTGTTTCGGATTTCAATTAATTAATAATTTTTTTGTATACGACTTCATTCATCAAACCTAAATAATTTTTTACTTCATTGTATAATTTTTCAATTACAATTATTGATTGTGATTATATATAATTAAATAAGACTTTCAATATCTTTTCCGTCAAGTCTTTTGCAGTTATAATATATTGTGTTTATTATTCACTTTGCAACTCAATGGATATAATCAAATTTTTTATAATAGTATATTAATTAATTATTAACAGTGTATTTATTTTAACAAAATATTTATAACATGGAAAACATAATATGACCTATATATAAGACCGGTACCATGAGATCCGACAGTTTGATACAAATTCTCAACGCAACGAAATCTATAAGTGAATGATAGTAAGTGAATAGTATACACTATATCTATTTACTTACAAAATTAGAGTAGATTCTCTTAACATTTCATTGTGACTTCACATATAAACTATATTAAGTAATGTCACTTCGGAATAGAGAATTGAATTTAAATTGTATTTTAAATTGTGTATAAGTGGTCCAGAAACGTTCAAAATGCTATGCGTTCCTAAAAATTGTGGAAAATTTCTTTGTGATCAATTCTTAGACAGGAACTCGCTTTGGGGCCAAAGAGTTAAAGTATATAATAATTCCAAGTCTCCTGCTTTGTTTCAGAATGATGGAGGCAGGTCAAAACTTTCATTTATCGTGATGAAACGATAAACCAATTCCTTTTTATTATTTCTAAAATGCTCCAGATTTTGCTGATAAATTCACATTCATGTTTTTATTCCATTGTTAGCGAATGTGACACCCATTATGCCACAACTTTTTGTAACTCAAATAGTGTTTTTTTTAAAAGAATATAAAAATATAAAAGAATATAAATAAAAAGATTTATAAAAAGAATAAATCTTAAATACCATTTCAGAATGAGTTGATATTGTTTCTAAACCCTTTCAATTAGGAATTGTTAAGAAACAATGCTCAATATCACATAATCTGCAAACAAAGAATAAACTGAAGTCAATCCTAATAAAATTTTGTCATTATGAAGAATGAAATATTGAAATGGCATTAAGTTTTTGGTTCTATGATTAGACAATATATGATACTTCGCGAATTTATTGAACTTACTGAGTAGTATATCATGCTTTGTGAAGGCGTCAACATTTATTGTTTCAGCAATAAATGATGTTTCAATTACTTCCTTAATTTACCTAATTATTTAATAAGTTTCTTCTTTTATATAAGTTTTACGGTAACTTCTTCCACATCTAAAGTATTGCCCCACAGAGGTGGCTCTTCCTGAATAATAAAAATTGGCATTGAACTAACTGTATTAATATAAAAATTATATTAATTATATATAAATGCAACACTAAATAATTACAAATAAAAAATTAATAACTTAATAAAAAAATTAATAAGCTAAAGACTAATTATCCAAGTAATTTATACATTGCACAAGCAAGTGTTTTCAATTATTAAAACCTAATTAATTATTTATAAAAAATTAATTATTTATTCTATTCTAAATAGCCAATCACTAATAATCGTAATTACACATCATTAAAATTATATTTACTGTAAATTTATGAATTTATTGTAAATTATTATTATTTATAATTATGTGAGACAATGAAATAGCGTTTTATCATATTAACAAATTTGATACAAATATGAGTTGAAAGATCATCTCATAACTCGCAGTTATATAGCAATAAGTATATTATTATCTACTATAATAGAATGAAATAGAATAGAATAGAATAAAATAAAATAGAAATCAATATACTTCAAATAGAAAATATTTAGTTAATGTAGGCTAGAATGTCTCTAATTGAAAACTTTCAAATATCTGACGAGGATAAGAGTTCCTGATACAATGTTACCATTTCGAACTAGGTCAAATTTGGACGATCCTAAAAGAAATAACTAAAAATGCTTTCCAGGTCAAGACGATATTCTGTTGCAAAATAAAATTTTTTACGACATATATATTGCGTATTTAGATATTATATTAATTATCATGGATTTAATCGGTTGCAATCTTCCATAATCATTCCTAAGAGGTGGTTTTAGTGGGTTTAAGTCTTATATTGTGGGTTTCCACGTACTCCAATAAAAAAAAAACAAAATAAAAAAAAATTATTCGACTAAAATATTATTGAACTTATTAAACTTTTATATTAGTGAAGACCTAACTGTAATACAATTTATCACTTCGTTGAAAGTAGTCCCTGTTTAATATTTAACACTAAGTTCAGTTTGAAAAATACTGTTGGAACGCTTTTTTACGTATAGTCTTGAGCTCGGTTTGCGATTTTGTCTTTATTTTATCTATAATTAAACTGCGTTTCACTTTGGGTGCCTTTTAGATCTCAGTATGTAGAAAAGTGTGCCATATTTGGAGAATATAGGTGGTAAACGGTGATGTTCATGAGCATTTATATAATTAATTAAACTTATTGAAAGATCATATGAAAGAATTTAATTTAAGAAAATCTATTATATCTTATGTAAACTAGTCTTACATATTTTGAAGAGGTTTGCACCACAAAGTCCCCCTTGTATACACCTGTGGCGATATTATATTTTGTCACAATAAGTTGAATAAGCAATAAATTTTTTAAACGAAATTCATAAAAATGTTTTATAATAGTATGGCATAATATGAATCATTAGTAGTATGATCCAACATTTCTTCAGTCTTATTTCTTCTTAAAGAACTAATGATTATTCATCCATTCGTAAGAACAATTTTTAGTTTCTTAAATTTATATTACTACTTGACTTTCCTGAAAGCAACGCTTATGAAGTCTCGGCTGTGACATAAGATCTTCGTCAAAATCCTTATTTAATATTTTTAAAGCTTTACTGTCCTAACATTAATTTTTTTTTGCTGTAGGTGGAAAGCATCGAAAGCTGAGACTGGAACCCACTAAAACCAACTCTTAGGAATGAATGGAGAAGATTTCTACAGCATTGAGGAAACTTCATACCAGTAATCAGGGGAGAGAGATGTGAATAGGTTTTTACAATTCAACCAACATGTTGGCATACAATAAATCGTCAAACATACAAATCTAAGTCTTGTCTATTCCTTCGGCAAACAGAGACTAAGATTCACACCCAAAATTTTTACTGGCAGTGCAACCTATACACCAAAAGAGACTCTACTTAATAAATAACATATATCAGATATAACTAAAAGCTCGCATTACCTTTTGATCATATCTCGTATCTCGTATGCTCAAGACCAAACCAAATATGTAGTTTATTTTTAAGTGATAGTACATAGCACAAAAATTGGTTTAAACTGGGACATGTGTGACTGAAGTCATTTCCATTAATAAATAATTCATTCATAGTACAATAAATCTTTTAATAATGCGTAAAAATGTAAATAAACGATACACTCGTCAAAATAAAATCGTAAATTTGAGGCATGAAATTTTAAAAATTATTAATAATAAAAATAATGATATTAAAATGTTGACAAAGGCATTGTTGTAATGTGAAGAGTGGGTCAGATGAAATAAAAATTAATTGGAATTTGAAGTTGCAGCAACTATGTAAGAAGCAACCAGCAACCAGCAACTAACAACTAGCAATCAGCAAGTTGCTAACAGTAACCAGAAATAGTTTTAGGAAATTTTATCATTTGACGACAATATAAAGATTGAAACATCGCTTCGCTTGGAAGAAGTGTCGTCGGAGACGAAAGTAATGATAACGATTTTGGTTGGCGATGATGATGATGATGATGAATGTTGGTAAAGTGTTGTCATCTTAAAAATGCCGATGTTGCCGTTTGCCATTGTTGACCAATTTTAATACAAATGACCGACTATTAATAAAATCGCTGGCCTTCTCTGCGAAATTTATTTATAAAATTAGTTGCATTATTAGTAAAATTGGTTTAATTAATCAATTTTTAAAAAAGTACAAATTTGTAAAATATTTATTAAGTTTGTGTTTATTCAAGATCTTTGAGATTTAAATATTTGTGGGGAGAATGGTAAGTGGGAGTTGAAAAATTCGGAAGATGATAAGTTCGACTTTGCATTTACTTTAAATTGATTTATTATTAGTTTATCATATATGAAATAAAAGAATTAAATTAATATAAAAAAATAATTTTTTTTTAAAAGTAGGTAGATTATTTGAAAAAGGCACACATTTCATAATATCACCTTAAAAATTTTTTATAAAATATTCCGTTTTTGTACTTATTATATAAACATCAATTCCTATAGCCGATCTAATTGAACTGCAACACTAGAATATTATATTTAATATTTGAAATTGAACTTTATTCAACTACTAGAAAATAATGTTAAAAAACAAATTTTTCGAATTCATTTCGAATTTTCGAAATCGTCGCTTTTCACGTGAACGATGCCTATCAGTGGTAGACAGACGTGTCGCACATTGCGCTAGTGTGAACCCGTATCTATAGGTATTCATGAAGGATATATTTTATCAATTTTATATTTTTTAATGGCGGTAATGTCTGCGAAATACTTACATCATATTATTTAACATTTGTTGAACGTGGAAGAGACTAGTGGGGAACTTGGGCGAAATTAAGTATGTAATGTTGTCTCTCAGCAATTATTAGTTAGAGCTCTCCACCAGAGTTATGTTACAAAATTGGTCTTTCTTGAGCATATTGAGTACAGTTGACATTTTCTTGTTGCTGACCTTACTTTTTTTATATAAGAAATGCCATATATAGAAAAATCAAGACGATTTACGTTTAATGATTGCAGATATAACTCCCATTTTTGGAAGCTGTGGGCTTTTTGTGACAGTACTCAGTTCCACTGAAATAGTTAACTACTCACTACTATAAAGTACCTTCTATAAAAACGCTCGTTCTTATACTCGTAATACTGTATAGATTGACCTAAGTGAACTGCAATTTTTTAATGTGAATAGCCACAGCAG